TAAGACCAACAACACTGATAACAAACAATAAAAAGTGCATCTTCTCTAGTGTTCACAATTACTTAATACACATGTCTTATCCATCCTATTTGAATGTGATTTCTTTGAAGCAGAGAACATCTCTGTGACCTCTCCAAGCAGCTTTCTCAGGCCAAAAACATAGTAAAATATCCAACAAATGTTGAAGGAATGAATGTGAATTTATCTCCATCATTCTCACCTCCTGTCTCATCTGCCACCACACATGTGGCCCATGTGACTGGCAAATTCTCATCCAGAACAAAAACTCTCCAGCATCCTTCCCTATCTCCTGGGTTTGCAGACACAGAGCAAGCAGTTTTTGGCAGATTTCAATGCGGGCTTCATGGAAATGGGTCCTAGATTTTGCCTGCTCAAGGCCTCTGTGGAACCCTGCCATGTCTATGCTGCTAAAAGGGAACCTTTTCTGTGTTTTCTTGGAGGTTTGACCTGGTCCACATTCCAGGCCTCCTTAGAGGAAGGACGTCAACTGAGATGCCCTTTCTTCTAAAAGGGAAAGGCAGTTGGATGACCAACAGCTCTACAAAAATACAAATCATGCTAAAGGCAGGGAAAAGAAAAGGAGGCTTATACAGGGAACTACTATTGAAGTAAAATCCACAAAGTTCTCAAAAACAAAGGAAAAATAAAGAGTAAAAAAACATAAGATAGTAACTATATCTTAAAAGACTTTTAGCCTGACTATTAAAGAGTAGTAAAGACTAGGAAAAAAAAATTCTTAGGCGTGTACTAACAACTCAAAAAGTATTTTTCAAGGTTAAGAATATTTAATCAGCCGGGCTCGGTGGTTCAGCCTGTAATCCCGCGCCTTTGGGAGGCTGAGGTGAGTGGATTGCCTGAGCCCGCGGGTTCGAGACCCTCCTGGGCAACTTGGCGAGACCTCATCTCTACAATAAATCAAAAATCAGCCGGGTGTGGTAGTGCACACCTGTAGTTGCGCTACTTGAAAGGCTGAGGTGGAAGGATTGCCGGAGCCCAGCAGGTCGAGGCTGCGGTGGCCAGGAGCGGCCACAGCACTCCAGTCTGGGTGACAGAGTGAGACTCCAACTCGAAAAAAAGAAAAAAAAGAATATTTAATCACTCTTGCTATGCTGTTATTCTGTTCCCTACCTTGAGAATAGGTGCTTGTCCCTATGTGTTCAAACAGACCCCAACCCACTTGAAGATGGCCACATCAGCCTTCAGGTTAATGCAGGACTGGGCCACACAAGGCACCAGCTCAACACTTGTTGAACCAATGGCAAATAATCTATCAGTCACAAGCTGGTGGCAAAGACGGAGTGACTAAGAAACACTTGGAGGAGGATAAAGGAGAGCCCAGTTATCACAGAAAAGTATTACTTTAGCAGCTTTGCCAATTAAACCAAAATGAGTCTGCTGAGTAAGGCCCCTACACTGGAGCTGTTTTTGGAGTCACTTCATGATTCACACCCAAATCATACAAGATTAAAGAAAATACTGGATAAAATCAAGCCAAACACTAAGTTCAGGAGAAAGATTTTATTGGACAAATTAGAAAAATATTGGTATTGTGCTTCAGAGAAACCCACTTCTTTCCTCTGGCTGCAGGGGCAGAAACAACCTCAATGGCAGACAAAGAAGGAATATGAGTTATTTTAGGTGAGCTTGCTCCATCTTCCCCATGCTGGCCACAACCCCACACTCACACCCACTGTGCTAATCTGGCAGTCTTGGCCAGAACAGAGGGGAATGTCCATCTATAATAAGGATTCGATTATATGACTGGGCTTGGAAGAAGGCAGAGGGGGTCTGAATGAGGATTCCCTGTCTGAGCTAGCCAGGACAGCTGCTAGCAGCTGGCTGTTTCTCTAGCCATTCTTGAGTTCTCTGGCCAGGGCAGATGTATGCCCTGTGAAGACACTAGAGTTCCCGAAGCTCAGAAGTTACTTACACCTTTCTAAAAAACCTAAAATCAGTGAAAATGAAGATGATGGTTTTAGAGGATCCCTTCAATCTTTCACCTCCTGAGTTTCTATTCTGTCCTGAGTGAACTAATGGTGAGGGAGCAGGAGGGAGAAAGCAGAGGCAGGTGGTCTAAGCAGAGATGAACAAATATCTTGCACATACCAGGACCAGAAGCATCCATGCAGGCTGACTCTTAACTATCATTCTTCAGGTACTGTGACTTCTAGTATTATTCTTATTGCTATTTTTAGAACAAACAAATGAAAAACTTTGATGTTCTCACGTGGTAGGGCTCATTTGTAACTTCATAGTATAGCTGTCTATCTGTCTTCTAGATCACAGTTGGCCAAGATCCCTATAAGACCCAAAAGAAAACTAAGGGGATGTGCGTGTGTGTGTGTGTGTACATGACCCCTTGCCAATGTTTACAACAACTATCTGAACCACATGACTAATCAAGAAGTGTTCATTTGATTCCCTCTCTAAGTATCCATCACCACCATGTCTTTCCAACCTTGATATCATCTGAGCATAGAACAATAGAACAAATATAACACAAACAGGGTGGCTGAATAATTACCACTTCCCCTGAAATGTCCTGGGACCTGCTTGGCTGCATCAAATCTTTACTTAAATTATCTCAATGACTCTCACAACAAGCTATGATATACATACTATGGTTATGGCAGGATGACAAGAGAAAAATGCTGCCCAGAGAGGCTGTGTGGCTTGCCCAAAGTCACAGCTGAGAGGTAGCAGGACTAGAAGTTGAGCTTCCCTGTGTGATGTTAACATTGAGTTCCTTCCACTATGTTGTTGTCTTTTGCTTAGAAGAAAAATGCAAACTCAAATCAGAGTCAACATATATGTATTGATCACTTTCAGATGGACTCGTTCACATAATCCTCAGTGGTTGGTATCGCTCAAACTTATTCTAAGTATCTAATGGCCTCAGGGTCAGAGACAGATGAATGGGATAGATGATCCATTGGCTTAACCATTCTAATGTTCATATCACGAACTCACACAATGGTTTATCTGTGTGGGTTCTTACAAGTGAAATGTGCAGCATTGGCCTGGGCCACCCCATGCATGGAAACTTGACCCTGGATACCACTTTTGGTGAAACCATCCAATTCAACATATCCACAGTGAGAAGAACAGAAAGATATTTTATTTGTGAGTGTCTGTACTATTAGGGGAGGATCAGGGTTGATGTGGTTGACCTGCTTTTCCAAGAGCCTTTCAGCTGACCTCTCAGTGGCCATAGCTCTGGAGAGTGCATGAGATGGACTATTTACAAACATACATCTGCTGCAAGGCCAGGATATACAGATGACCAGAAAGGCACTGTGAGTAGACTGTGTGGAGGGAAGCCACACAGTGACTTCCATTGCTACAGAGAGAAGGAGGCTACCTTGGTGACTTCTGACATCTGGTTCCATTTTGTTTTTCCTTTAAAAGCCAATATATAGGGAATTAATTCATTCACTGGCAAGATATTCGGATTTGATTGTTTCATGGACTCCGTTCCATTCCAATTTGGAATAAATAAGCACTAGAAGCCCACACTCAGCCACACAAACATGTAACTCCAATGACCCCCAACACACAGTCCTATGCAAGCAGCCTGGAGATGGGTAATATGCTAGCCTTTTTAGACTTAAATATGTCTTTGGACTTAAATGTCTTTAAAACATCAGTGGCTTTTCAATCAGAATTCTCAATAATTCTGAGTTACATTTGGAATTAGCTAACCAGTTAATTTGGTCATTTTCTGATTTAAAAAGAGATGGTTGAAATCAAACATGACCATACATCCCATCTTAAAGCATGCATGTGGGATGCACATGATGTGGTCATGACTCCGTTAATACCAGGGCAATTAGAGCACAGTTGGATGATGATGGAGGTCTCACATGAACTGCTTCTAAACAATGATGCAAGCGAGAAGTGAACTGGTCTCCCACAATGCTTTGCCAACAAACATTTGCATAGCAGCCCTGCTGCTGTTTTCTAATTTGGATGAATGAGAAAAAGACGAGTGGTGTGGATGGATGTGTATGCATGTGTTTGTACATGTCTTTGTGTGTCTGCTGATTGCCACAGGAAACGGCCTACTCTTTCCTAACTTACTGTTCACTGTATTGTTCTTTATACTTTTATATCATCTTTTTAAAAATTAAATAAACACAAACCCAAAAGGATGTCCTTTTTTTCAACTAGTACAGGGATGGTAACACGTGACACACTTGCTGCCAATGCCCTTCCAAAGACAACATGCGATGCTGTCCGTGGATCGGTGCCTCCTGCCTAATGAGCCTGGCTGCTGCCTCAGAATCCTCCTCAACACAGAGGCCTGGGCAGTCCCTACCCAGGGATTCTGGTTGATGATCCCATGGGTTGTCTTGGATTTGGCCTAATCCCACTTAATTCAGAGAGAGAGAAAATGATGCTGAGACAAAGGAAGTAGTTAACATATCAGGTCACCAAACAATGCTACTGAATAGGACATAGTAGGCAGGAAATGGAGACAGTCTCAACTGTTTTGATTCAACAAAAAAGGTGTCAGTGAGCTACACATGAAGAACGTGCTTACACAATGTAATCTGGAGGAAAATCTCATTTAATAAGTTTCCAGGGATCTTGGGTCTAATTTGCTAGACTTACAGTAAATTGGTCTAGGGCTGGAGTATGAGTCTATTTAACACAAAAAGGGACCCATTATAATAGGTTTCCTGCTGTCTAGAGTTAAACACAAATTTTCATATATTGGCAAATGTGAAATAAATAAATAAATGCACATAGGTACATGTGGCTTGTTATAAAAAAATGATGGCAGATATATTTATCCTACATTACTTATGTATTAAGTGTCAAAATACTAGCTATAAACTATTTAAAACAACTTTTACAATACTATGAATTGAGCAGTTCTTCAAGTGAAAACTGCTACAAAGGGTCATCATTGTAGAACTGAGGAATAGATTTGAAAGCCATAAAAGGAGAAATGCAGACATACGTATTTCTCTTACCAGTGGCCTGAGTTCTGGATGCGTCAGGATATATCCATTATTTGTGATTGCAAAGGCATAACCGTGAATCCCTAACTGTAAGAGGAAGCAAAAAAGAAACCATTAGCTTGCTCCCCAGTGAATTCACAAAGCATAAAGCAGCCCGACATTTAGTAATTTACAGCTTAAACTTGGCATTCATAACCCTTATCAGCACAATATTTCATTAAAATGAATGTGAGGCACTGATCCTTGACATTTGGTGGAAATGAAGACCTGTCATAGGATAAACTCAGCAAATAGCACAATTTAAAATGTCACATCCCCACATTGGCATCCAAGGCTTTATTTTGATTTATTTAAAACAAAAACAATTATTTTTTTTTAACAAGAAAGAGGCTAATGTTTCTGGAAAGTGAACAGAACTTGATCAACAGGGGTGTCTTCTCTCTGCCTGTGATAAGGAAAGGGGGGGTTCTCAAGCTGCTTTGCTTCTAGGCTTCCTACAACTCCACACCCACAGGGGCTATCTCAAACAGTTATTTTCCATAACTCTTCAAGGATCAAAGTGTCCCCCAGCCCATCATGGAGCCTGCCAACCCTTTGTACATCCCTCTTCTTCAAATTGTGTGACTGCCCTGTTTCAGTATGCATGCTTCTCTTGACACAAAGCCTGGGTAATTTTCTATGCAGAGCCTCGCTTAATTTATGTTTTCTGACTAAATGGGACTATGGGAAATAGTTTGTGAGCAATGAAATGTTTTATTAGCTTTAAAAAGTATGTAATCAAATTTAGCACTGCACTTATTTAAATAATAATCCCAGCTTTTTGACAATATTTCTATTACACAGTTGACTGCACCCATTGGCTACAATAAATTTACCTACAAATCATTCATGTATTAAAATGGCCTCTGGCATAAAACCCATACTGATCTTTCTCTCTGAAGAAAGAAAACGTAACCCACTTTTGCCAGAGCAGCGAAAGGGGAGAAGAAAAAAAAATTCTCTATTTTTTCCCCAAGGAGTTATTTCACAGTTCTAAGCCCTCACTGTTACTTTTCTTTAAATTCTCTGCCACTCACATTCTCAAATATGATACTATTAAATGATCCAGACAGTGGAGTTTACAAACCAGGTCTGACCCTGTCTGCTTGTTAGCTTAACGTCAAGGTGATGTGAAATTAACTTCAGAGAATTTAACACCGGCAATTAAAAGTTTCCGTTGCATTATATAAAGCAAATATGCATGGGGTAGTCAAAGGCAACAGACGTTTTCTCCTGGAGTTACCTTGCACAGCAAGTCTTAATAAGATTCTACTTGACTCTAATGATAAAAGTATATTTCATTATGCTGTGGAAGATAAACCAGAGATTTCCTATCCTTTGAGATGTATATCATCCCTTTCATCTTGTCTCTCAGAAAAATGTCAGGCACAGTCAACCCTGCATTAATTACCATTATTATGTCCTACTTTAAGATGGACTGGAGGGGTCAAAAAGGACTCTGAGAATCTGACTTTTTCCATTAAAGGCAAAAGTGGCATTTGATTGGGAATTCAACTCAAAATTAGACCAAACAAACAATATTTTGTAGTCACCTCATGTATTTCAGGACCTTCTAACGTCCATTACTTTGGTTCTTGTTTTGCTTGTGGCATGTAATATTCAAAAGAAGGTAAGGCCCCTCTTAATGCCCTGTACATTTCTTGTATAGCCCTTATCAAAGTGGTACGAATCAATTGTTTCTGAAGTCGATTATAAGTAATCAAGACCTTTGATTATTTCATGCCTGCCTCCCCTGGCCAGAAACTAACTTCCATGAGGGCAAAGGTTATACCGTGTAATTAAACCATATGGAGGGGTGGTTGGGATGGAGGGAAGAGAAGCAGGGAAAGGAGGAAAAGGAAGAAGGAAGCAGGGAAACGACACAAGAAATTGCCTCTAGCACAGCGTCTGCAAAGCTAAACTAAACTCCCTGTCCTCTCCCCTGGAATGCGGAAGCTGAGCTCACCTTCCCTTTCCAACATCCTCTGTTCATTGTCTAACTGCCTTCTCTGCTCCTTTAGTGCCTGTTCATGCCTCAACCTACTGGATTCTGCTTTTTCCCTCCCTCCAGTCCCATATCAAAAAGCCACAAAAACTCCTTTCTCTACAGTTGCCAGTGGCCTCCTATTTGCCAAACTCTTCTGGACTTTTTTTCTTAAATCTTATGTTTTATTTAGCCAACTGCTTCTTCTTCCTTGACACTATTCCCTCAGCTTCCCGACCCCATGTTTCTGGGTTTCCTCCTCTCTGTAGGATACTCACCTTCCAGACATTCTGCAAGCACTTGTTGTCCCTAAGGTTCTGTCCCCAGTGGCCCTTGTCTGCTTTGATTCTCCTCTCCTCCAATAAACTTCAGCAATTCCTTATGCCCTGATCTCCAGATCTATGCTTCTGCCTGGGTCTCTCCCTCAGTGTCAGTCCCAGTGTCCAATGGGTGCTGGTCATCTCTTCCTGGCCATCTCACAGGCATCTCAGAACCGTCCAGCTAACACGAATTCTCTTTTTTTTTTTTTTGAGTTGGTGTCTCACTCTGTTGCCCAGACTGGAGTGCAGTGGCCGCTCCCGGCTACCGCAGCCTCGACCTGCTGGGCTCCCGCAATCCTTCTGCCTCAGCCTTCCAAGTAGCTGGAACTACAGGCGCGCGCTACCGTGCCTGGCTAATTTTTTTATTTATTGTAGAGATGAGATCTCACCAAGTTGCCCAGGTGGGTCTCGAACCCGCAGGCTCAGGCAATTCACTCACCTCAGCCTCCCAAGGCGCAGGATTACAGGCTGAGCCACTGAACCGGGCTCATGAAATTCTCTTAAAGCTGCTCTTCCTCCTCCTCTTTCTCAGTAGGTGGCACTACCACCCACCCAGACTCCCAAGTTAGAAGTTAGAAGCTAGAACATCATCCATAGACTCTTTTCTCTTTCATCCCCAGCACCTGAATCCAAGTAATCACTAAATCCTACTAATTTCCCCCCAGATATTACCCTGCTTCAACCCTGCTACCTGACCCTACCACCACTATATTCAATCAACAGATTTCCACAATGGTCTTAACTGCTCTTCCTGCCTCAAAGGTTGGCCCCAACAAAGTCATCCTCCAGATTGATCAGGGTCAAAGGTAACACTAACCATGCTGTATTCCTTTGAAAAACCCACCAAGGATCTCTTTCATGTGTGAGTTAGAATCTATGAGTCTGTCCACCAGGTCTCCCTGGAGGCTGGCCCCTGCCTAAGTACCCAGTCCTGCTGCTTTCCACTCACTGCCTCTCAAGGCATATGGCAGCAGCAGCTCCCCTCCCCCTGCAGTTTTCACTCTCACCCAGACCTTTACTCACAGAGTGCCAGCTGCCTTGAACACTCCTCCTTCCATCTCTCCCCAGCCAATTCTCACCCATGCTAAGCTCAGCCTCAGCATCATCTCCTGCAAAGGTCTTTCCCGACCCTCTTCCTTTGCTTCCTCCTTTCCATACCAAGTTGACACTACATTCACCCTAATGCATAAAAATGCTACACTCACTTTCCTGCCTCTCAACCCCCTGCTAATTTTCTTCCCCTCCCCCACATCCTCTTATTCTAGAAAGAACTGAAGATAGAACCTCCTCCACCAGAATGAGCTCCTTGTGGGGGAGAAGCCAAAGCAATTACCTTTGACTTCTACAGTGTGGAGCTCAAGGTCGGGCATGTGGCAGGTGCTCAGTAAAGGTTTGTGTGTATTTAAGATGTTTACCAGTTTATTCAAATATGACCTAGCTCATCTTGCAAACTTGAATAAAGTAAATATTTAAAGTGAGTTGAAAAAGAGAAGCTTATTTGTCCCAGTAGACCCACAGCCTTCTCAAGCTTGCACCTAGGAAAGTCTTCCCTGACATTCAGAAACCACCTGGTTAAAATTCTTCCCAGGCGAATGTTCTGAGAGAAAAACATCAGAATGTTTTGTGTGTTGGTTGGTGGCATGCTGATAGAATTTAGTGTAGATGTGAGAAGAGATGCTCTGAGCAAATCTCAAAATACATTCTGTGGATGAGTCAGAGAAACAAAAATTTTAATGCGACAATGTCCAACATTTGTTTTTGGCTACAAATCAATATACTGATGAAATCCCTAACTCTTGTTTCATCTGAAGTAGAACCAGTCTCCCTGTCCATTCTAATGTGCAGTCCCGTGGAGTAATAGAGAACAGATCGGACATGAGCCTTTCCAGCACCAGGCCTTGCCAAAGGGGCCCTGGACCTAAAGCATGCTCTCCTGGAGGCCGGGAACCTGCGGGGTCCAACAGCCTGGGGAAAGGAGGCACTTCCCTTCCAACTGGAGAGACTTTGGGCTAATGAAGTGAACCCAATTATAAAATGGCTCGTTATGTTAACAGAGGCCGCGGTGTCTGGAAATTATTGCTGGGGTGTCTGGAATTCTTAATAAAAATTACAGGAAGTCTGATTGCTTGTGGGAAAAAATCTGTGAAGCTAAGGAAGAAAGAAAGAATTCTATCTTCTGGGAAAACCCCAAGAGCCAAGAGCTGACTCATCTTTACAAGGTGTTAATCAGGAGGGCAAGGTGTGACCCGAACCCTACTCCCCAGAGCTCTCCTTGCCTCCATGAGAGAGGCTCATTCGGCCATGGCTGTCCCTGGCTGACATGCACACCTTTCCAAAGCTCTTTATGGGAACCAGGAGTGGGATGCTTTAGATTAAGGATGCGACAGGTATGCTACACCAGTGTCTCTGTCTTCTAACTTGACCCTTGGGAAAGCATAAAACAGAAGTGCCAACATTTCAAGTTTTCTACAGCCAATCTTCCTCTGTGCTCTTGCTGTTCTTTGTTTCATCCATTTTTTACTAGCTGAGTGATGTTGAGAAAGTTCTTTCAAGTATCCTTAACTAAAAATGAGGCCAAATGGTATTCATTTTGTAAGATTGTAATAAGAATTCAATAGATATAATGCATGTAAAGTACTTGGACTATGCCAACCACAGTATGACATTCAATAAATGTGTTACTGTGCTGTAATTACTATCGTGATTTTATTTTAACATTTTAACTATTACCATTGTTGTTGTCATTGCTCTTATGGTTCCTAGTAACATTGGGGTTGTAGAGGGTTAAAATCATGGGTCTCACACTTGCAAGCTGTGAGACTTGGCAAGACATTTAAGCTTTTGGTGTCTCAGTTTAACTGTAAAATGTGGGTAATTATAATGTCTACCTATTATTAAGTAAGATAATGGTATAATATAAAGAGCTTAGCACACTGCCTGATAGAAAAAATTCTGAGAAATTGACCCACGAGATAGTTGTTACTGGTTCAATATTATATTCATTCTTTCTTAGTTTATTGGACACAAATCAAGTAGCAGCCCTGTGATTGGGTTTCTATATCTCAAGTGTAAAAAGAAGCTTAAGGATCATTTGCAAACATTCTTCATAGGTGGGATGCCCTTCCCTAAACATTGGGCCAGCCATTCTGGACACCTAAGTCTGGGGATTTCAACAAAAGTGAAGTTCACTGGTTTTAGGGGCCTCAAAACCTTTTTCCTTATCCCAACCCTCAACTTTCTATTTCTGGGAAGCTACAGTTTCCAACACTTGATTATAGAGCTTTGTATCAACTAAATGTCCTATTGTGCCTCTGGAAACAATTTCAATTATAAAAGCCTTGGTTGATGAAGCTGGTTGTTAACATTTGACAGAAGGAGAACAAAGGATTTGAGGGCCTTGTTCACATGTACCTTATCAATGACAGAGCTAAGAATCTCCAGAACCAAACACTTATCACTACCTGCTTCCACCTGAGGTCCAGGAAGGCTGATGGGCCCCTCGCAGCTGTGTTGAATGAGGCCTCAGCACATCAAGAAAGGAAGTGCTGAGAAAGGGGGCCCTGGTAGCCAATAATTCCAGTTTCCTGGCCTCCCTCCAGATGGGGGCAGAGGGAGCCTTCGTCAATTTGAGCCTGCCCAAAATGGAGACGAAGATAGCCAGTCTGCTTGGTGCTAAGGGAAGGCGGAGTAGATATAGTGTCAACCCCTATGCAGCCAGCGGAGTCCTTAGTCCAGTGAGCCAACAGGACCTGGCATGGGGGCTGCTCTTTGACACCTCCCACACGTACACACCCACGTACACATCCAGAGGGCTCTTGGGCAGTGCTGTGTGCCTGTGTCGGACTCGAGAGTGCCTCCTCCATCCCACTTTTTGATCTGCTTTTCTAATGAACCCCCATTTGAGAACAGGGCAGAGTTTGTTTTCTATGCAGGATCTAAAAACTCTCTGGGCCGTCTTTTAAAAAGGCAAACCAGTCATGTCAGTACTCTGTGTGTATCAGAAAGATGCAATGATCACATCAAAACTTTCAAATTCACACTGATTCTTTAAACTGAGGGGGGTGATTAAGAAAAACAGTAAGTCATTTTAAATTAAAAAAACAAACAAAAACCGAGTAACTGAGCAGATGGTACAAAGACAGGCTAATAGGTTATGATGGTGGTAAGCAGAAACACTGCTCCAGAGGGAAGTAGAATTTGAAGCCTGGCTTTTGTGAAGACAAGGCTCCTGATAGTTCTGCTGCTCTGATTTCATTAATTAGTCGTACATTACCTTGTATTTGGGGATAGTTTTCAGAAGTTCTTTCACTGGGACATCTGTGCCAACCACTCCAAGGAGAATGCCCTTCGACCTCTGTTGAAAATGAACATTGGACAATAATAACAATAAGTTAACCTGGATAAAGAAATAGAACCTTGTGAGAAGTCACACACCCCTAGATCACTGGCTGGTGCCTTTCCCAAAGTGATAGAGATTGAGGATTAATCTGGATATCCAGGAAGGAGTCTCTTCTACCACCATTCTGCACCCCAAATATTACTCGACAAGAATGGTAGCTTCCCAGGCCAACCATTAACTGCTACAACCCCCAACACACACTCACACCAAGACTCCTCTCCTAAAAAAGCCCAAGTTTCAACAGCTAAGGACTCTAATCAGTAAGCCAGTTTCTCTTATGAAAGCTCTTTACAGGAAAGACAGCATGTTAACTGCTTTCTCAATTTACACTGCCATCTGGTGCCCAGGAGAGAGAGACTAAATATCCAGAGAAAGATGTAGTAACCCTAACCCTTTTAGTAACCGAGGACCAAGGTGAAGGAATAGGCCTGCAGGGTCCCCATGTCCATGGCAGGTGGTTGTAGTGATTTGCTTACACTTTCCAATATCAGAAAGGCCACTGGGAAGAATCTACAAATTGCTGCTCTTGATTGTTTCCTTTAAGGCTTGTGGTGGGTGGAAGAGTATCCCTCTAAGTCCACCCAAAACGTCAGAATGTAATGTTATTTGGAAATAGGGTCTTTACAGATGTAAAAGATCGGGATCTTGAGATAAAATCATCTTGGATTTAGGGTGGAGATTAAATCCAATGATTAGTCTCTGTATAAGAAGAAGGGAGGACACCGTGAGACATATAAGAGGAGCAGGCCACGTGAAAACAAGGACAGAGCCTAGAGTGATGCTGCCACAAGTTAGGAAATGGCTAGGGCCCCAGAAGCTGAAAGAGACAAGGAAGAATTCTTCCTAGAAATGTTGGAGGGAGCATGGCCTGCTGACATCTTGATTTCAGATTTCCAGCCTCTGAAACTATAAGATGATAAATTTATGTTTTTTATTTTTGTTTTGTTTTGCTTTTTGAGTCGGGGTCTCACTGTCACCCAGGCTGGAGTGCAGTGGTACAATCATGGCTTACTGCTGCTTTAACCTCCTGGGCTCAGGCAATCCTCTGCCTCACCCTCCAGAGTAGCTGGGACTACAGGTACTTGCCACCATACCTGGCTAACTTTTTAATTTATTGTAGATACAGAGGTCTCACTATATTGCCCAGGCTAGTCTTTAACTTCTGGATTCTCGCCTTAGCCTCCCAAAGTGCTGGGATTCAGGCATGAACCACCACACCCCACCAATTTCTGCTTTTTAAGTCTTAGGACACTAATAAAGAGTTGGTAACTATAAATCAAAGAGATGTCAGTCCACCAGAATCAAGGATTATCTCTAGGGTTTTTCCTCCTTGGGTCATTTAACACTTAAATTTTGGGAAACTGCTAAGGGTGATGCAAGCTCTAAAGTGACACCTGCTTGAATTCCTCGCTTCTATTGTTGATTTGATGATTCTAACAGCAGGATGAAACAATAAGCAAAAATGAAATACAGTACTTCCTATCCTTAAAAAACAAGTCCCCAGAGCTTGAGTCGGAGGGGGTCTGAGGAAACAGCCATCCTAGCCTCAAGCAGGAAGCACAGTCTCCATACTCACGGTTTCGTTCTGCTTACTAAACACAGGCATGGCTACAGTGGTCATCAGGACGAGGCCCTGATCATCAGTCAGCTGGATGGGGAGAGAAAAGTTGGTTATCTGAGGATGGTCTAGAAACCACGGTTCCGGAGGCTACCCCCCTTGACCATCACGTCGTTTCCTGACCACAGGCTGTTGAGAATGGACCAGTGCCCACTCAAACCTTTTGTGGAGGGAGGGCCACAATGTGCCTCCACCCTGATTTGCAGATGACAGTCCCAGCCTCCCACAAGTTGCCTCAGTCACTCCAGCTGATCTGTTTTCTGCTTTCAGAGCATTTTGGTTCAATTGGAGCCTTGTTTGGATCTTACAGATTTGTTTTATTTTATTACCAAAGATTTATTTTACTACCTTACTTCTCAGACATTTATGTTCAAAAATAATGCTTCTCCTTAACCTAAATATTGAGGATCGGAAAGCATGAGCATAAGGGGTCTTGTGAGGTACCTCTGTGGGAAATGACAGAACCTGGAAACATTTATTTCCCCCACGGTAGCTAAGTTAAGGCCCTTTTACCTCTACAGATCTTTGAATGCCAATCTCAGACAGAAAACAAATGAAATAAAAACCAAAATGAAACAAAACAAAAACACTTCATCATCTGATCCCTAAAATCATGACTAAAAAACTAATCATTTATCTTGGAAAAACAGCTCTTGAAATACGGTACATGATCCACTTCCACAGGCCTTAGCACTGGGCACAGACACATAGACACCCACCACTCTATCTGCTCTTCAGACAGTGCTGGGAGAAAGGCAGAAGTCCCTATTGTGCCCCCAAACAAATGGGGAAACAGAATCTTGGGACACAGTAGACTTTGACCCAAGACAAACCATGCTGAAATGTCTAATTCTCAGCCTTAAATCTTTTATAACTTCCCTAATTAAACCTTCATGTCCTCATATGAAATAATGACAGCCATTTTCCAGCATGGTCGCCATAAAGTATAAAAACTGCACAGCATGGTACCTGGCATATGGAGGTGCTCAAAGGATGAAGGATGCTAATTTTCTTTCTCTGTCTTCAAGGTAACACAGCTAATAAGTAGCAAAGTACAAAGTGAGATCTAGCCTGAGGCAGATTGGTGAGGCAGTCTCATGGGACTGGGATACTTTCTGGTTTCATAGCCCATTCAAACCTCAAGTGAAGTAATCTGTGTACTAGAAACCACTATCTTCAGTTTAGAGTGTTTTCTGTTGCGTGAGCATTTCCATTCCATTTTTTTAGTTCCATAGAATAAGCAAGTGTTACTCCCTCAGTCTTTTTGGAAAGAGGCATTATGAAAAGAAGACCCTAAAGCCCAAGTTGTTTGAAGCCCCCATAGACTGGCTGGTCTCCTGAGTAAAAATCATGAAGCTCAGTCTATCTTTTGCTTTGTTCTTCTAATAGATTTTTAGAGCTGCAGGGTGTTACTACTTGCAATATGGCACACGGGACCTGCAGCACCTGCAGCACTTGCAGCACCCACCCAAGAGCTTTAGTCTCAAGCCCCATTCCAGACCCTCTGAATGAGAATAATTATTTTAATAATTGGGTATATATGCAAAACTCCAAAAAACATTGTTATGGGGCAATCCTTTCTGCCTTATGTCCATCAATAATTACGACAGCTAAAAAGAAGCTAGCAGGTGTTTAGAAAAGAGATGGGGAGGGTCATGTTTTTATTTGTTTTATGCCTATATCAAGATGGGCTTATTTTCTTCCATAACAAGTAAGATGAGGCAAGAATCTCATGGTCCCTCAAGGCCTGGAAATTCCTGGTGTCATGGTTAATTTTATGTGCCGGCTTGGGTAGGCCATGCTGCCCAGTCATTTGATCAACCACCAGGATACATGCTGCTGAGAAGGTATTTTTTAGATATGAGTAACACTGAATTCGGTAGACTTTGAGTAAAGCAGATTACCTTCCACAATGTGGGTGGGTCTCATCCAATCAGCTGAAGGTTTTAAGAGAAAAGACAGGTCCCCCAGGAAGAGGAGATTCTACCTCCAGACTGCCTTTCAAACTCAAGATTGCAACATCAGCTCTTGCTGGAATTTCTAGCCTGCCAGCTTGCCTTGCAGATTTCAGACTTACCAGCCTCCACAATTGTATAAGCTGATTCCTTAAAATAAATCTCTGCCCTGCCCCCCATAGCATCTCTCTACAAAGGCTCTCCTGTTGGTTCTAGTCCTCTGGAGAACTCTGACTAATAATATACATGATAATCACATAAGCTATTATTTGGGGCAGCCTCATTTGAGTGTTAGAAAAAGTATATAAATTTATTTAATCAATATTAATAACCAAAAAATATTAACTATGAGATTATGGTGACAGTTATTGTTGCCAGTAACCAAGTCAACCCGTATATACAGTATATAACAGTTTATAGAAACACAGTTCCAATGTCTTGCCAAAAATATTTACAGCACACTATGGCCACCATTGGAGGCATGCATGACCATTTTCAAAAGCAGAACCAGCCCATGGTAAACAACTCTCAAAATTAAAAGTATTCCCATATTCTGATCCTCGATTAATCCTTAGTGCTATATAATGATTTGAACTGATCCATAACCCTAGACAACTTCCACTTTGCAACTCAAATCAAATTTCAAGCAGTGCCAACATGTATCATGAATGAAATCAAAGCATACCATTGACAATAATGAGAAATGAAGCTTTTTCCCTGCAACCAGTAAAAATCAGTTATAAATCACTAGTAATTGTCCTGGCACAAACACAAGATCAAGGGAAACTAACTCCAAAATAGTAAGCCAGAATATAGTATCAACTCCACTCAGGGAATAATTCAAAATGTAATTACTGCATCGTCACTTAAAAAAAAAAAAGCCCATAATATTGCATTTGTATGGAAACCACTCATCTGTAACCAGCCCCAGGTAAACAAAGGAAATGCAGTGAGTTCAGTCTGGCCACAGTTCACATGTGGGCCTGTGATCACATGCACTCCTTGCCTATGGCAATTCTGGCCCCAACTTTAACTGGCTTGGCCAGAACCCTAACCTGTAGTCTTCCCTTCGTATCCCAGCTCATCATCACGAGCCTCCTCGTGGGCTGGTAGGAGCACAGAAACACCACTTGCATAACACGAAGACCCTCTTCCGCATCCACAAGCTCCATCATGCCAGTCCCCACAGGCCTGGACTCTGTGAATCTTAAGCATTTCATGAAGAAGGGACATCAATTTGTAGGTCGTTTGCACTGTAAGCATTTTATGATCAAAAGGCATTCTGTACTCTTGCCATAGGAAATGGCAGCCAATGGTGAATTTTTTTTTTCCCAGACCACCAAGCAGAAGTTATGCAGTCAACCATGGCCAGAAACCCTTTGTCCCCCCACATGCTAGGGGGTCCCTGCTTTTTTGTGGCCCCCCCAACCTGTAGCTGCTGCTGAGGCAAGAGGGCTGCTTATGATTCATATGTGTGGCTTCCAAGAAAAACGCAGACATAGAGTCAACATTCATTTTCCAAAGGGTAGAAGCAGGAGATGGGGGTCACCATGGTCCATCTGGGCAAAATCCCATTAACTGAAGTCCAAGAGGGAATCTTAAAATGCACTGCCGTTCAACTACACTTGCCCAGGCTTTGAGCAGACCTACAAAATGTGTGGCTGTGGCGCTCTGTGGTATAATAAGTGTATATTATTCCATATCCTTCATTTCCCATGCTACATAATGGGGACTGTTCTGGTATCAAAGGAAATGATGAATAATAATACTGAACATCTGGTTTATAAAACACAAACTTGCTCAACAGATTGACTGCTTCCTGTCAGCTTCCCAAGTTAATCATGCATGTAGGCTTATATGAATATGCATTTGGACTCATGTGAGAAGTCCTTGCAGCCATGCCAGGCCCCTGCTCCTTAATACTCCATTAGCTTCCTACTGATGGCACTAGCTGGGGACATGAACAGCCTGAGGGTGTGGCCCCGGATAGCATAACAGAACCAGATTTGTGGTCTATCTATCATGCTGCTGGTCTAGTCATTTCTGTTCATTAATTCCCTTGATAAACACTCCTTGAGCAGCAGTGATGTGTCAAGTTTTATGTCACATGCTGGGAAGACCACTAGGAATAAGGCATGCGTCCCATCCTCAAGCAAACTCAAAGGTGAAAAGCTAACACAGCAGAGGAAGAAGAGCTGGTCGGGCTGGCATGCTGGCTCTTGTTTAGTGAGTAGAGAGGTTGTCTTCTTCAGGTTTAGCTACACTAAAGTAAAAATATCTGGCATTTACCAGTATCTGTCAGGGTTTATATGACAGATTCAAAAAACTTCCTGAAAACCGGTTTAACGACATCAGGAAAAGTTCCCTGCTGTAGAACAGTCTCATTTCATTTGCTTCATACTTAAGAATGTCTGTAAGTGGAACAATGCAGTATTAGATGCTGTTTAACTTGCCTAGCACCTTTCTTTGACTTCTTCTTCAAATATCACCTCCTTCCTTTAGGAAAATCCTCTTCACTCTCTCTAGTTCTTGATAGCCAACCTCTCCCATCCTGAGTATGTAACTTGACATCCAACCGGGCTGTACTAAGAGAGCACTACACACACACACACACACACACACACACACACATACACACACACAATGCACAGGCCGCCCTGATTGGTCTATTCAGTAGTCACCTGATTTCTTTCTTTTTTCCTGTTTCTCACCTGGAACTACTGGAAAAGACTACTCTCCTTTGTGAATGGCATAAGAATGTAAGCCTGACAGTCATGTCCCCTTACTACAGAGAGGTGAGTAGACTGAGAAAATAAACTCACAGAAAGGAAGAGAGGTGTGTGTGTGTGTGTGTGTGTGTGTGTGTGTGGTGCAAGTGCATGCATGCACATTGTGTGAGTGATGGAAGAGAAGAAGAAGGGTAGGGAGTGAGAGGGAGGAAAAAGGAGAGGTACGGGGTGGGAGGGCACAAGTCCCTGCATGTCTCATTCGCAAGGTCAATTCCACAAATGCATTTTTTCCGTTATTGGGTAGCTTGAGCCAATACGTATTCCTCTTTTTCCCAAATGAGCATGA